GTCTCAAGGGTCTTTGACGATGACCTAATGACATCACAGTATCAATTGCTTTGCAACCAAACAAAAGAAAGGCGTACAATGTGAGTATTACAAATGTGAAGTATGTAGCAATTGCTTACAGTTAAATAATGTCGAATATTGAACAAAACTAAGCTTAATCGGTCGAGCTTTGACTACACGAATATGCATGCCTGGAGTGGGGGTCTGCTAGTAAAGCTGAAATTTAGTGTTTAAGTATTAGCACCAAGGAACCAAACCCTACATATAATTATGTAAATGAACCTCATCATTAAATCTGCATCCACAGGGAAGACTATGGTATCAATGCTATTGTTAAGACAAATATAATAAACAACTCTAGAACACAGCAAATAATTCTTGACTACAATAATACAAGTGCTAAGAAAAAAAAAATTAAATTGATATTCTTAAAATAATATGTGACAATATGGCATTAAGCGTTTTGAAACAATGCAAGGTAAATTTTGAAAAAAAGCAGTGGTTTTCATCTATGTGTAACAAGGTTCTGCCTCATATCCATATTTTATAATAAATTATTGTGTTTATTGACAATAAAACAGCAATTACTTTCGAAATTTCATCTTTCTTGTAGATTTCAGAATGGCATTTAAAATAGATTACGGGGAAGTGCTAGCTTTTGGCGAGGAGGCAGCGAAGAATGTAGTAAGTTTTTTTTAATATACTCGTATTAATTTTTTTTACTTATTAACATATATTTATTTTATTTTATTTTTATGCATGTTGAATCGAAAATCATTCACGAAAAAACTCCCTCCTCCCTCCTATTGTTTCATATCTTTATAAGATACATTTTGTATTTCATATACGATTTTCAAAATAATTAACATTAAGATTTAAATAATCTGTAGAATATTATCAAAAAAGTACTGGATCTAAATCAATGTTCCAATTACTCCCAAGTTTGCTTTTGTAAGTACATCATACAGTAGTTGCTTTCACGTTCCGAGGATCTTTTGAGGATTTAAGGGGAAAAACAACTTGTAATCAATTGATACTGCCACAGTTCCTCCAAAATATTTCTATCTTATCTTTTTCTAGGATGAAAAGATGAAAGTATTGAAATTTGAATACAGCTGGGCGGAGGTGATGGAAGAGGCAGAGAAGCAAAAAGAGGTATCTTAATAGAAATAATAGCAAAAGCAATATACATTATAAACATTTTTTTTTTTAATTTACACTATTTATCTTTCAATGGTGATCATCAAATTAAGAAAATTAAATTTATTTGCAGACGAAAGTTGAAGTAATAAAAACACGTGACCCACAAAAAATACTGAAACGGAACCACGCCAAACGACTGGTAAGAAAAGAAATTCACACATTTAGTTCAAAACAGTCTCCCGTTCTGTTTATGAACTGGTGAGCTTTTTAAAAAGACAAAATGTTTGTTTGTATGTTGTTCAACGTCCCAAAAGACAAAATGTGTTGTTGTTTATCGTAGAGAGAAATCGAAGACAGGAAAATTCATTCCTTGGGATTAAACCAACTCCACAAGGAATTGCTAGTAAGCGTATAGAATAATATGGATATAAAAATTATGTTAAGAAAGTTATAAACAAACAATTTTGTAATGAAACCGGTTTTTTCAATAGAATTAAGTCTCATTTGTTCAATTACAGGAATTCTTCAATGCCAAAAAGGAACCAAAAGCAAAAAGAGACCATCAAAAAATATTGAAGGACAAACATGAATTACTACTGGTAAGAAATAGACGACCTGTTTATAAATATTTTCAGAAAAGAGAGAGCAGAAAATAAGCTTATAATCAAGCTTTGTTGCTTTTCTCTTGCAGAGAAAGGTTGAAACAAAACGTGAGACTGAAAAACTGCTCAGCGCTGCACATGAACAACTACTGGTAAGAAAACGAATCTCTCGATAAATGTACGCAAAATACTCAAAGCAGTTTTTGAAAATTAATAATAGCGACTGTGTGGTTTTTCTCTTGTAGAAAAGGATTGAGGCCAAGCAAATACATAGAGGTTTGCTGATGAATGTCCACAATCAACTACTGGTAAGGACACACTAATATTTACGTTTGACATTGCTATAGATGGTGTAGCTATAGTTTGCTTTATTTAATACATATATTTATCCTTGATCGTAAAGTTCTGCAGATCATATACTAGTATACCGCTATATATATATATATATATATATATATATATATATATATATATATATATATATATATATATATATATATATATATATATATATATATAGTATTGAGTTCCAAATTTTAATCTTGTTAGCTTCAAACTTCTCTTTTATAATTCAGAATGTAACGAAAAAAGAAGATACGGTGACAGCTTTATCCTGGGGAAGGAGACCGCTGTTCAGTGCCTTAAAGGTACAGTTTTGATACAGAGAATAAAGATTATTGTTTATTTTTTCTGACATACATTTATTGGTTTTATTTACAGAAGAATATATAACTTTTTCAGGTTCTAACGGACAAAGGAACAGGAATGATTTACGGAATATTAAAGTATTTTGGTTTCGTATGAAAAGTTGCTTGCATCATAGAGACATTTTATATTAGATTAAACATTTTTGGATTAAACATATTTTACTCGTCAAAAGAGTTTTTATTTTTTCAAGCATTTGTTTGATGTTACGAGATGTTACAGAGTTATCTATAAAATTAAAATATATAATCGCAACAGTGTGAAAACGAGATACGTGTATTTAAAAGCAGCTTACAGAGTCGAAAAGGTTATATTATCGATAAAATATAATGCGTATTAGAATGCATGAAATAGAAATAGTTAAAAGTGTGTCAAAGTCGAAGACTTGAAAAGACAAGAGGCCCATGGGCCACATCGCTCACCTGAGCACTGTGGCTAGGAAAAAAGCAAAAATCAGTTCAGTATTGAAAAGCTCACATGCATAAGTGGTCCCGACCTACCCCTACAGGGGGGATGATTTGAACAAAATTGAATCTACACTAAGGATGCTTACATATTTCTTTGACTAACTGTGGCTTCTTTTCCAACAAGTTTAAAATTCATTGTAGACCCACTCTACCCCCAGGGGTCATGAATTGATCAAACTTGAATCTACGCTACCTGAGGATGCTTTCATATAAATATGACCAATCATGGCTTTGCTGTTCTTGAGAAGAAGATTTTTGAAGATTTTTCCTATATACTCCTATGTTAAACGTTGACCGCCCATTGTGGCCCCACCCTACCCCCGGGGGTCATTATTTGAACAAAATTTGAATCTACATCATCTGAGGATGCTTTCACATAAATATGACCAATCATGGCTTTGTTGTTCTTGAGGAGAAGGTTTTTAAAGATTTTTCCTATATATTCTTATGTAAAACTTTGATCGTCCATTGTGGCCCCATCCTACCCCCAAGGGTCATGATTTGAACAAATTGAATCTACACTACCTGACGATAATTCCACATTAGTTTCATCTTTCCTGGCCCATTGGTTCTTGAGAAGAAGATTTTTAAAAGATGCCATTAATTTTTCCCTGGTTTGTTATTATCCCCCCTTGGAAGAGGGCGTGGTCCTTCATTTAAATTTGAATCCCTTTCACCCAAGAATACTCTGTGCCAAGTTTGGTTGAAATTGGCCCAGTGGTTCTGGAGAAGAAGATGAAATTGTGAAAAGTTAACGACGACGACAGACAACGGACAAATTTTGATCAGGAAAGCTCACTTGAGCCTTCGGCTCAGGTGAGCAAAAAAAAAATGAGAATGGGAGGGGGCCGATGCCAAGTGCCTTTGATCCTTGCTGCTAAGAATAAGATTTTCTGAGAAATTTCCTTCATGTATCTACTATTTCTTATGTAAAGAATTGAATTTTATTGTGGTCCAACATCCTGGAAATAGGTGCTGAAATGTGTTCACATGCATGTATCTGTAATCAAGGCAACTCACTTTAGCCCTGCATGTGTGTACGTTTGTTTTTTTAAAGAAAAGGTTATAAAACGTAAGAGATTGGAACAAGGTTACTGACCTGTGAGAGAGTGTCTGGGACGTAACTTTGGAACTCATTTGCAATGAATTTATACTTGAGTATGTTGTTGCTTATACCAAAATAATTTTCTTTCTCATTCAAATCAATTAACTGCCATGATTAACTATTTGAAGACTTCCATCTTGTCTAAAAAAAAGTCTGTTTTTGTTTTAATCGGACACGTTGACATCTCGATATAGTCCTATATGCAGCAAAACCAAGGCTATGGAAAATACTTTAAACATCTTATTTTGAAAAGCTTTAAAGTTTAAATTGACACTTAGTCCTATGAACATATATATATCTGTGGATCACGATTTGAATCTAAATTGGTTTGCAATTTCCTTCGAAAGTTTGTTCTTTATTTCGAGAATTAAAAAATCTATCAATCTGAATAAACTCAGTATTAATTGATATATCAGAGAGAGAGAGAGAGAGAGAGAGAGAGAGAGAGAGAGAGAGAGAGAGAGAGAGAGAGAGAGAGAGAGAGAGAGAGAGAGAGAGAGAGAGAGAGAGATTTCAAAGGTTTCATGTTGGGAAAAAAAAGTGGGCAGTCCCGGTGGGCAGCCCCCCACCCCACCCCCCACCCCCTTCCCCGCGATGCTACGTGCCTGAAGTGATGTTTAAGATATAAAAGAAAATGCATTTCTTTTTAAAGAGTCAGTGGCGGATCAATAAAACTTCAAAAGCGAGGGCCAAACAAGTTGGGGGTCTAGAGTGGGGGCCCAGGGACGAGGCCCCCGGAAGCCTTCAGGTTTTAAGGGTTTTATGAAACAGTTATTTGACATTTAAGCTATATTTTAAGTATAATTAATGCAATGTCCCACAATAACAACAACATCCAACAGCAAAATGATTTTTCAATCTTATGTATAATTTTGGTCACAAAAAGGGGGGGGGGGCTGGGTCCCCTAAATCATGTCGATTTTAACCTGCACGAAGCGAGATAACTCCAACATTCTTATCCAAATAATAACGCTTAATTTTGACCCGAAATGGCGACAGAGGGGGATATACTAGTGTCGAAGCAAGAGCTCCATGAATTTGTGGTGCGGTGCATCACAGCTGCTGGAGCGGATCCAAACCATGCAGCCGATTTGGCGGATCTTCTCGTCACAGCTGATTATCGAGGTCATTACAGTCATGGCATGAACAGACTTGGTAATGTGTTTATTGTTTACTTTTTGATCTACTTTTACTTTCATTTTATGTCTTAGAGAGAGAGAGAGAGAGAGAGAGAGAGAGAGAGTTTAAGGAAAGATATACAGTTATGTAACATAATTACGCTACTTTTGGATTGTCTCAAGGGATCAGTAAAACGAACCTTCGATCTTATTGTTTATTGTTGACCAAAGGAGCCATGTGGCTCTATATACAAGCAATACAGGCAAATGGCAGAGGATTCAAAAATACTGCAAAATGTAAACATATGAATTATAGGAAATTTGGGACAGACACAAACAAATAATAAACCAAAAAGTGAGACATCATTAATGACATTTAACATACATGTATATATTGGTATTTGTCTGTTTTGTAGATTTCGATCAATACAAGTTGACAACTTGAAGCTTCTGAATAGTTTTAAAGTTATGCAAACTAAAAAGTGGTATAAGTTTGAAAAAGGAAGGCTTTTCTTTTTCAAATAAAAAGGCTTTGTAGTTTATACATAAATAAAAAAATTGCGGACATATCAAAACAAAATGAAAATCATCTTCTATTTCCTGCATGTTACAAAATGAGTACTTATGTTCTCTTCTGGGGAAGGTCTTGTAACTTCGATTTTCAACATTCAGAGAATGTTCAGAATAGTCAGAAAGGAATTAATTTAATTTATGTCATTCAGTCGCCTGTGGAAGGGTAAATGTATTTTGTAACTAAGAGGTTTACGACGGCAATGACCCCCCCCCCCCCCCCGAAAAAAAAAATCCTAAGATACTGTTACGAGGGTTGATTCAAGAGTAATGTCACAGCTGCTATTAAATCTTAAATAATTGAGTGTTATCAACAAAATTTTGCATACTATCCCTATCTATTTTAATTTTTGCCTTAAAATTTCATTCAATTGTACAAAATGCATTTTAAAATATTAAGATAAACACAACGTTAGGTTTTGTCAAACGTCGCATGGCAAGAATGTTACCGACGTCGTTATGACGTAACTTTCGGAACTCATTTTCAGTTCATCCGCGGTCCGCATGTCTTTTTAACCTAGCCCTCGTGTGCTTTCTTTTCAATAATTTTTACTGCCATTTTGCCATAAACTGTCTTGTTTTGAGTTAATTGTAGTATCAAATTGTTTTGAACTTTGTCCAAATGTTATTTCTAAATTCATTCCCTTTTGCATAAATCTTATGTATTGATCATCAAATTTGAAAAGTGTCAGATCGAGAAACGTCATAATGACACCCATACATTCTTGCTGTGCAGCGATAGACGAGACCCAAGGTTGTGTTTATTTTAAAATTTCATAAAGTATTGCATATAGCTTAATGAAATTTTAAGAAAAAAATCAAAATAGTTAGAGGTATTAGTATATAAACTTGGTGAAAACTTTTGATTATTAAAGATTTTAGAGCAGTGTGCCAATTGTGACATTATTTTTGGATCAACCTTCGTAAATGGGAGAAATGTGTATTTTAAAATATAGGTTTTCAGGCCATATTTAAAAAGATGTTTGCGTTCCCTCTCCCCACTCAAGATAAAAAAAAAAAAAAAAATGGGTAGTTAGGTAGGGAAATTTTTTTTTTCAAAAACACTTGTGAATATTAAGTTGAAATAGTTATTAATGGGATGAGAAAACTTTGGAATGAATTAAAAAAAATGTTTCCTAGAGGTTAAAAAAAGTTTTGAGTCGAAACATCTCAAGACTCTGTCACCTCCTCTGGTGATCGTCTGGTTTTTTCATGTGCAGTGATGATAAAGAAATACTGTTCAAAGTCTTTTCAGACTTCAAAGAGAAGCAAACAATCCAGTTTGAAGATGTGGGAAAACCTCTGTGTTCAGGAAATTGAAAAAAATATATTAACTGAAATACTGAAATTTGTGTGACTGATTGGTGAGCGTGTGTAGTTAACCAAGCTGGAAAATTCAGATAGTCTGGTCATTATGACTTACTACCTAAGACAAATCAATTATACCTTGTGACTAACAACAGACACTTCCATATGTGGGGGTTCCAAGAAAACACCACTACCGTTTACGGTCACAAAATAATGAAGTGCATGATTCCTATGTATATAAATATTGTATATAACAATTATTAATGGCACACTATTGAATAAAAATATATTATTCATTACTTTCAGTAAGTAAATTTAAATAGTAAAACATTTTCACCAGTCAGCAAAACATTAAGAAATTGAGTATCTTCGATCAGTTTTAATGTTATTCAAATATGTGCAATTGCATATGAGAGAGAGAGAGAGAGAGAGAGAGAGAGAGAGAGAGAGAGGATGCTAGTTTTGTTAAAATTACACTGGCTAGAATGTGTATATTACCATTTGTATAAACTGTTTAAAAAAGCATAAAGGGAAGAAGGAATCAAGGATTTAAAGATGAAATGACATTTAAAAATGTGCACTGTGACTCACGTGAATGAAGGTGATTGTATTTAACTTTGGACTATGTCACTTATTTAGATTATTATATTAATAGCTATTTATAATTTCTCTGCCCAATTTAATTTTATTTTGCATGTTTTCTTTCCTTCAGTTTTAGTTGGGAAAAAATTAATTTATGTCATTCTAATAGTTTTAATTTGGAAAATTAAAAAAAATCCCTCTCTTCCAACCCAAAGATCAAAATGGTGAGTACCCAAGTGAAATGAGTAATATTTTTGCTTATATCAATATCAGTTTTAATTTGGAAAATTAAAAAAAATCCCTCTCTTCCAACCCAAAGATCAAAATGGTGAGTACCCAAGTGAAATGAGTAATATTTTTGCTTATATCATACTTTTAGAGAATATTTATTATAATTTAATCAAATTATGCAATTATAACGTCATAGTGCATATGTATAATTAAATTTATAATTTTAGATATGTATTCAAGTGAACTAAAATCAGGAATATGTAGAGGAGGTGGGGCTTCCCCGGAAATCGTCAAGCAAACAGTCGCCACTGCCCTGGTGGACGGGAATAATTTGTTGGGTTGGTTTTGCATTTATGATGCCTTATCACTTGAAAGCTAATTGTAGCATTAGATCAGTAAGTAAGCTATTTGTCCAATTACCTTATCTTTAATATTTTTTTTCGGAATAGGTCCAGTTGTCGGGAAGTTCGCTGTGGATCTGGCTATCAAAAAGGCAAAAGAGGCAGGGATCGGAATGGTCACAGTTCGAGGTACCGTTATTATTTCTCGATCATTCATCAGTTGATCCGTCAAGAAATTATTAGTTTCGTGCATCGGATTAGTTCCACATTACAATATACCACGAAATATGTAAATGAAAAATTATTAATCGGAAGATTTTCTCCAAATCCATTGTTCCTTTTACTTCCAGGTTCAAACCATTTTGGGATAGCCGGGTGGTATTCTTTAAGAGCTCTAGAACACGGTCTTATAGTAAGAATATTCAACAGAAAGATGGACTTATTAAAAGCAATATGTAATTTAAACAGTTTAATTTACAGTTGAAATTTTGTAGAGGTCTGTCTTAGATGTAGAATGACAATTGTGACTTCAGTGATGCTATCCGTAACATCAGTTTTTGTTCCAGGGAATGTCTTTCACTAATACCTCACCAGTTCTTAACCCAACGAGATCAAAAGAGGTATATATTTCATATCAAATATATTTTTATATACGTACTTACGCATTGATATACATTTAAATATGTTTACATAGTTCACTTAAGTACTAGTATTCTATAATTTTTACTTATCTAAATGTGTTGAAATTTCCAGCAGCAGAAAATCAATCTGCTTCTTTGTACATCTTTTAAACCTGTTTTCAAATTTCTGAACATATCCTTCTATATATTATCTTACAATACAATGTAATGATAATAATTTTGGTTCTTTCACATATTTCCAATCGACAATAAAACAAGTTTTAGTTTTTCAGCAAATTCTCGGGACAAATCCTATAAGTGTGGCTGCACCGGCTAAAGATGGCGACAGCTTTGTGTTGGATATGGCTACCTCTAGCGTAGCGCTAGGAAAGGTAACGCAGATGCTAAAAACCAAATGTAAAAGAACGATATCACGTCTGTGGTAAGAATATTGTGACATTATAACAAATCAATACATGTATGTTCTTAATGCATGAACATTTTTGTTTCATTCTGTATATATGTGGCTTATATGTAGATCGAGATTCAAGACAGGAAGAATCTCCCGCTTCCACCAGGGTGGGCGGTTGATGCCGATGGAAACGTAAGCAATTCCCTTAAATTTCCTTAGAGTAAGAAACTTGAATATTTTTGAAACGTGAGTAAAAAAATGCTTGAAATTTATGGTGACTTTAGTGGTTTATATGCATTTTTTGGAACAGGAAACGTACGACCCTAAGAAAATCAAAGGCCTGTTACCTCTTGGAGGAAAAGAAGAAAGCAGTAAGTAATGTACATGTATAATTAATGACATTTGGTGTTCTTTAGTTTTCTTTTTTTTTGTAATAATAATTTTGATATGCTTCACATATATTTCACCTAAATTAAACATTTTCATGTATGAACAAGTGTTTGTTGAATAACGTCTTTCTGCCATGACAGGTGGATATAAGGGTTACGGATTGTCCATGATGGTGGAGGTTCTGACAGGGATACTCAGCGGTGGGGCCTTTGGTCCACATATACGTCAGTGGAAAGGAGCAACGAGAGTCGCTAATCTGGTAAACGGAGTATTTTAATACATATTTCTCTACCATAATCGTATGGTATGATGTTTTCTCTTTTCTTTGTCTGTTTATCTGTTGTTCTGTATCTTTTAGCTATCCGGTTTTTTGCGATGGAAGGGTTAATCAGTGTTGAATGAAGTATATCACAACTTTATGCAATGTTTTGTTATGAAAAATAATATCATTATGGAGTCTTGATTGCACAGTTTAAATAGAATTTACTCTGCATTGGAATGTAGCAAAAATGCATTGTTAAGTTATATTTTAAGTTATATTATAAAGCACCTGTGTAACACCTATTGACCAATGTTTATATTATAAAACTAATATTATAGTTTTGTGGCAATATATGCAATGTATACGCCAATAAAGATACTACACCAATAAAGATTAATCCAATTGTTTCCCTGTTAGGTTCATGTTGTTGGCTTAGAGTTCCTGTTCTTTCTTGGAAATATGTTAATAGTGAAAAAATAGTACCATGCATGTACCCTATTTAAAGGTAAAGATTTCAAATGAAAAATTCTTTGAATTCCTAAAGTAAAAATTTTCTTTCTTTAAATTAATGCAGTTTCAGTTTGTAAGGTACAAATTTACATTTCAGTACTAATTTCACATTCTAGTAACAACTGCAGTACTGTCAATGAACAGTATTTTAAGTAAAAACATGGAAATCATTATCACACAAAAGAAGTATGAAAAGAATATCAATATAGTTTATGCTGTAGAAATATAAACGCGTAGAAATATACATGACGAAACTCGAACTAAAGAGACGTCACAATGACGCTACAGAGACGTTAATAAAATATGACGATATAGGACAGCGAGAAATTCAAACACTGAGTATATTTGTGGTGCATTTAAGCATTAAAATGTAAATATAAGGAATGTTTTTAAGTTTAGTGTGAATTATTGGTGTGTAAATCACACAGACTTGCACGTAGGCATATTTTTTCATGAAGCGCGCTTCATGAAAAAATATGCCTACGTGCAAGTCTGTGTGATTTACACACCAATAACTCACACAAAACTTAAAAACATTCCTTAAATAAACTGATATATGAAGCTATGTTGCTCAAAAGCAAAAAAATAGGATGACCAGGGATCAAAAATGTAGTAGATTTATTTACTAGTACTTGCCAGTACTTGCTCCCATTTGTCACTATCACCATTCGATTGAACCAGAACACTTGAACAAGTGGTCCAGAATTTCACAAATCTGATAAAAATACTCTTGGTCATTATAATGTTGTACTTTGTTTGCCTCTGAAATGCCCAGGAGCAGAAAAGAGCAGAAAAGAAAATATTTAAAGAAACAATTCATTTTCTCTATAGATTAAACACAGCCCCACCCTAATACCAGAACCCCTGACCCAGGAGCCAGAAAATTCATATTTAAAGTGAATTTCTCCGGTAGTTACATTATAAGAAGTTATAGTTGTAATGATTACAAGTTTAATATTGTAGGGACAATGTTTTATTGTGCTGGATCCTAAAGCTTTTACTGATGACTTTGAGGACAGAATGAGTGAGCTGAATAATATCTGCAGGCAGCTGGAATCTGTAAGACACCTAAAAAGTTCATGATTTCAGATTTCTTGTATAGCTGCCAATCAAGTTCATTTTTTTGCATTGCATTGCTTTAATAATTGTTATAATTTAATAAAAATTGAATGCATCAAGTATTTTAATTTCCCCGTAAATATTATAAATATTAAAGTGCTGAAACACTAATTGGATAGTTATGTTGAATGCAAGTAACTGCTAAATAGATCATCGTTTGCATATCTTTGGAAAAAAAATACAGGTGAATTTTAGAGCAAGAAATTTTCTAGAACTTATCACTGCAATACATGTTCTAAAAAGCATTAGGCACGGTAACTATATATTCCCTCCTACACTTTACACATAAACAATTCAAAATTAATGGTAGCTTTGTCATTTAAACTATTTTTGAATGCGGAGATCATTAAGTAGTTATATTAATAATTCTTAACCAATAGTTAATTGCTTTTAATCACAACGCTTTTTTTTTTAATAAAAAGGGAGGTGGTCAGAAAATTTAATCCATTGAAATCAGGGTTTAAAACACCTCCGGATTTTAAAATACTCATGGATATTGATAAGTGATCGACCCTTAAGCCTTTCCCTATGTTGATTTATAAGACTGATAAAGTACAATTTCGTAGTTGAAATCTTATAAGAAATTGGTAAAAAAGTAATAAAGTGAACATTTTCGCCGTGTTTTTGCCCCCCCCCCCCCGCGAAACAACAAAACTTTTGTATGAATTGTTAAATTCATTGTTGAATAACAATTCACAATACATACCCCTAAAAAAGGTTTTTTGTTTTATAGGGTAAGTGGGGGATGTTTTATGTTTTTAAAATATTTTCCGTTTTTCATTGATTTCTGTAGTGAAAAAACGCGTTATAGTTATTTCTTTCGTTTTCCCAAATAAATTATATTTTTTGAAAATTCATATACTAGTGAATATCAATATAAATATGAAAAATCGTTCAAATATGTTAACTTTTGAATAACTTGGAGATACCTGTAGAGGAAGAGTATACGTTTAAAATCTTAAGCCAGAATCAGTTTTCTTATAATTAGTAGCGAGAGATTATGTTGACGAAAAGTTAAACTTCTGTATTTTTTATGTATTTTTGATCTTTTCGTTGTCTTTGTATGTAGGTGGATGGCCCTGACAAACCTGTATTAGTCCCCGGAGACCCAGAGAAGGAACACATGAAGCTATGTGACAAACTAGGGGGGATTCCCTACCATCCTAACCAGATTACATTCATGGTAGAGGGACTTTTATTTCTTTAATACCTTTGAAAATACTGTATACAGGGTTATTTTCGCCCCGTGTCATTTCGCCCACCTGAGAGTAGGGCGAAAGAGACGAAAATAAAACGGGGCGAAATTTTCCCTGTATACAGTAATTAAATGGGCATGTACTTTGATCTCTGCATATAATAGACATAAATGGTGTAAATAATGAAATCTTGCTTACATGTGTATATATTTTGTGAAATTCTGCATACTTTCAACGTTTACATTCATGCATCTAATTTTCTTTCCCTTTTTTTCTTTTTAAAGAATGACATGGCTAAGCTGTTCAATGTAACTCCAGTGAAGACATCCTGAGGGATTCGGAAAATTCACTGATCTCACGTGCCTTACATATTACTCTGTATCATCATGTTGATATCATATAGTTATTGAGAGAAAGAAAAATGTATAGAAAATAAATTATGAAATAATGAAGTTTGCTTATTAGAAATGATTTTAAATATTCTTTACAAAGGTTAGACTTTTTATTTGATTTTGTTCCGTTATGTTCATATGAGAATATCGTTTCTGATGAATAAGTTGATAAATTGTTAGAAGAATATGGAGCAGGAAAAGCAGCACAACCCATAAGGAATTCGAACTAGGAATGTAGGTTATCCCACTACACAGAACTCGATGTACTGAATGTTAAAGCTTAAAAGAGTTTCCTGTTTTGATCAGCAGGATTGAAAATCAGACGATAATTGACCACTGCTTATGCATCTGACATAGAAATAATTCGAAAGATATGTTCAGAAAATGGCAAAGTAAGATGCGTTCTGACCTCACAGAGACATGAGAAAGAGATCACGTAATATCGTTTTGAGCGCGGTATGATCCCTTTCAAGACGAAAGATTGATGATGAAAACCAAATGTGGAGAGTAGGTCATCTCTCCACGATCCTAAAAAGACATTTTTTGTGCATTTGTATTCAAAGAAACAAACATTTGAAAACATGGAGATAAGACCCGGAGACTATAAAAAAGGATTTTTTCAAAAAACAAACAAACAAACAAACAAACAAACAAAAAAAAAACAAAAAAAAAAAAACAACAACAACAACAACAACAAACAAACAATGTGTAAATGCTATGCTTCTTTGTCATTTTAAATTTCAATATTTTGTGTTGCGATGATAACTCAATTATATGCGTTACCAGTCCAGCGCACTACGGACTTGAGAAGTTTTTGGTTCGATTGTCATAAGAAACATTTTATTTTTATTCTTTTTTATACAAACATTCAAGTTGTTTATCAGTTGAATTACGCAACTTTTATTTAAATTTTAGCTTGTCCACGAACTTTACGGACAACTCTCGTATATTTACTGATTTATAAAAGTTTTTAAAGAGATAAATTTTGGTTCAGTTGCACAGGGAGCGAAAGCAATATTTCAAACCTACTGGAACTTCATTTCATATATAATAACCTATTTCATGTATCTTGTTAGATGTTTATTACTTACGTGAAGAGTTACTGTGTTATCTATTAAGATAAGTGGACTAAAATATTTCAAATATGCAAGCTATTTCAATGTAGATCTAAACATTTTCCTGTATGCGTAACTTTGCAAAGTCTGTGCACTTCTGGTCAGCCGACCAAATCGTGGACATTTAGACCATAAATGTTTCGTACACATGATTTCTGCAGATCGCTCGCCAAGAACGCCCATCTTCTTTATGCATATCATTTGAATTACAGTTTGTGCCCCCCCCCCCCCCTCAAAAAAGTCCAAAGATTAGGTTAAACTAAAAAGAAATATAAAAGAAAACTGTCTATTTAAATACATTAAAATTGAGAAAGTCATAAAATTTAGTAATCTTGCAAAATCAGTGTTATGATATCAAGCAAACAACACGAGAGAAAAGGGTCCATTAATTTTCGATTCCCACCGTACATACTTTATTACTTGTCACCTTACGTATCTCAGAAAGAGGGTGTTGCAGAAACTCGCGATTATTCCCTATATAGAGAATGCTAAGTAGATAACTTTATTTATACGACAGGTATGTCCACCTTAATTGTTATAGCAACAAAACATTTCACATTTTCACATTTTACGTTTATTTCATGCATAGTTTTTTCCTAACATAGGCTGGCGACCTGTGAGTAAACTTTTTTTTACATCCAAGGTCACTGTCGCCATATTGCAAGAGAAAAGTTAGAACGATAAAAAAGCACAATAAATGGCAAGTGCACCTCACACATCATTTTGAAAGATGTACATGTACTGTAGACAGCGTGCGTTAAGATGTACATGTACTGTAGACAGCGTGCGTTAATATTTTTCAATATTTAAAAATGTGTCCAATAATCACGCTGTTGATGCAGTTTTGAAGAAAAATCCTGTCTCTTTATGCGTATGTCAAATTCATTCTGTTTCATGGTGGCAATTTTTACAGCACAATGTAGAACAATATTTAGAAACTGCATATCGACTTCCAATTTGCCATTAAATGAAGTGTAAATTTAGTCACATAGGAAAATCAGTCAAGTTTTCTGTTTTTCAAATAGGGAATCCCCATTTTCTATCATTTAAAAGCTTTTTCCCGCTAATCAATAATTTTACTTTTTCAACAAAATTGCAAAACTTAATGAGTAGACGTTATATATATATTTCTAAATAATTTACATATAAAATTCAACACGAAATGCTTCAGTAGCGAATGACGTGACGTCACGCAGACCCTCATGGCGACTGATTCTTTTCGAGATGTCGTTAACGTTGGATTTAAGCGTCTAGTACGGCAATTGAGAGGGAAGTCGGACCAAAAATCAGGTTAGAAACATCGACTGACATGATTTATACCGCGTGTTGTTGTTAGTTTTATTAAATAAAGCGCCAGAGCAGAATTCGCCAAAAACGCGTTGCATTCCTGTCGCTTCGCTCGCGAAGCTCACTGGTTGTTGTTTACGTTGTTTTATGGATAAAACTGCCGACTCCTGTGCTAGGATCATTGTACGCCTATAGAGGACAACTCTTAAATACTCTGTGCTTAGTCAGAGTGACCTTAGCACTGGTTCTCTGTTATTGATTAAAGTGGCTTGTCGCTAGGAAATTGGTGTTTTTTCAGGGCGCTTGTGCTCGTTAACCAATGTCAGGGTACCAGTCAAAGAGGTCAGTTAAAGCTGACATGAATTCTAAAAAACGCAACATTTGCATCAATGAACGACTTGTTTCATACCAACTATTCCGCCATATTTCTTTCAGATACCTTGTCTTACTGTAACAATATATACCCCAGTGCCCTTGTTGCACTTGAGTGAATTTTTGGTTTGGCTATCGACGCCTGCACATCTCCGATTGTAAAGTATTTGGGAACACATGAATTGATGAAAACATTTTAAAACCAGAACAGATAAAACAGACATAACGATATTTATGAATAATTATCGTTTTGAATAATATAAATGCAAGTTTGGAAGAAAAAACATAGTTGCGCGTGTTTTTTTTAAAGCGTACCAATATATGTACAATAAACTTGAAATAATACACAGTAAAACTCGTACAAATAATTTGCAAGTATCTATCGTAAGAATGGAACAAACCACCAGCGTATTTCCTATGCATGTCCATATGCATTCAAATGCAATTGATGCATATCGAGAGAACACGTCGAACACTGTAAACTTATTCATACCTGGAAATAGACCACTGTACGCATTCGAAGATGTGCACATGCCGAATAATTTACACCTTGTATTCCATTTATTGAAATATGCATCACAAATAAGTAATAAACCCCATAAATACTCAACAGTAAACACGTTGATACTTCATCGTACAGTCTAGCACTCGATGCTGATCAGATATGGGTTAGGGAAAATATCAAAAGTGAAAAAGGGAATTAATATTTGCGCAAATGGGTAAAAAAAAAAAGAAGAAATCATTAAAAAAAGTATGATTGATTATTATCTAAAAACTAAACTGAGTAATTTGGTGTAAAAAATGAATTAGAACACGACATGAGCATTTAACCAGAACACAAATTAACAAATATACACACACGTGGAGCGGGAGGGGGGGAGGGGGGGAATACTCCCTTTTCTCAGAGTGTCTTTCAGGCACGTAGCATCTAAGAAATAATTGACACTTTAGCTGAAAAATCTTTGACAAGCAAAAAAAATTAATAATATAAATTTTAATAATAATAATAAAAAAATAAATAAAAAAAATAAAATATGAGAAATCTCCAAAATCCTTTTTCGTGGCGGTGATGGGGCGGGGGGGGGGGGAGCAACTTTTTCGAGGATTTGACTAAAGTGCAACAAAAAGTGGAGGAGATCAGCCTTTGAGTGTGTATTTCATACTTATGCTCGAAAAAGAGGGGGCATCCGCCGCCCACGCGTTCTACAGGCCTGTCTTTTACGTTTGATTTTGGAGGGATTTTTTAATTTTAAGACCACCCCCCCCCCAACTCTCATCCAACATTTTTGTACATTGTACTCAAATATTTTTCCGCCGAAAATGATAGTATGAATGGAATCCGTCCCTCCCCTGACTACGGATTTTTTTTAAATGCCTGTTTTCCATCTTCACTTCCCCCAATTTTTAAGTGCCTAAAGTTTTTCTTTTGCTTGTCAATCATTTTACTGCCCCCCCCCCCCGCTCCCCCTCGCATACACACATTTTGAGAAACGGTGCTACATGCCTGTTTTATATGCATGTATAGGAAGTCTTTCCAGATTGAAGAGTTTCCGCAGGCAGTCTTAAATTTGGTACCTATTTAATTTCTTGTATTTTGAAAAAATCTTAAAAGATAGCTTAAGGATTACTTGAAACCTAAACCGCAAGATTATGGATAAATATTTTTTGCATTTTCAATACAAGTATACTCTCTCTCTCTCACATGTGTAAGCATCCATACATGTAATAGCAATAATGCATATAAAATCCGATGTAGTAAAAATCTTGGGAAATGATATAGTCTTATAAGGGTAGATCAAGGAATTTTTCTGGGGCAGGGTGGATCAAACCTGCTGAAAAAATTGTCTCCTTTTTTTGACAAGGCCAAAAAAAAAAAAAAAGGAAAAGAAAAGAAGAAAAAAACCTACACACCCAAACGAAAAGGGAACAAAACAATTGTGAAAAGTATATTTCAAGGGAATGGAAACATGTGGATCCTTCTCATGTACTTTCCAGAGGAAACGAAGTCAGTTTTTTTGTTTTGTTTTTTTATACCTCTGAAGAGCACAGAGGGTTCCTACCAGAAATTTTTTAGACAAGAAAAAAAAAAAACCAATATCCAAAAAAAAAAAAAAAAAAAAAAAAAAAAAGGGGTGTGGGTGGGGGGTGGATACTGTCAGGGGCACATTGTTTCCTTCCCTATAAACTTTGACTATTGATTACAATATTTAAAGAAATAATACACATGCACACAACCAATTTTAATCATTCAGTCACATCACAAAATTTCTTTAAATATCCAGAACA